CATTTCATTTCATTTCATTTCATTTCATATTTTCACAGTTGCGGTCTTGACTGGTCTTGAAATAAAATCCCGAGTCCTCGGTGCCCAAGACCGAGACCATCAAAAAAAATGTTCTCAAGTATTACAGCACTGGTCACAGCAGAACAAAACTGGAACAAAGTACGAAGATATTGCTGATTAGCTAATGGTTTGCAGGTGTGATAACAAATAATCAGCACTAAGAACTCAGAAAAACCCAAAACAACACAGAACCCTGACATGATTGTAACATGTTAGTCAAGGCGGGTTACTTTCTGGAGGCTTCTTCTTGTTAACAGGGTAGTTCTGGATTTTGAGGAGCTTCTGTTAAAAGGTCATAGGCATAAATCCAAATTAGTTATTCTCATGGGCAGTGGTCCCCAAAGTCGGTCCTCAAGGGCCAGCATCCTGCATGTTTTAGGTCTCTCCCTGGTTTAGCACACCTGCATCAAATGATGGCTCATTAGAAGGCCTAAGAAGAACACTGACATGCTGAAAAGGTTGTTACTACCACCAGGGAGAGAAATAAAACATGCAGGATGCTGGCCCTCAAGGACCGACTCTGGGAACCACTGCTCATGGGCAAAAGGTAACAGCGACTCCATGAGGGGCTAAGAGCCAAGTGGACTTCTGCTGCCTTAAAACATTTAATTTGTGGACCATTAAGCCAGAAGCTGATATTATTTTCAGAAGAAATAGAAATATCAACCCTATTGTTCAGTTGATCTCTTGTGAAATTAATCTCCGTGATCAACTGATATCTTTTTACTAATACAACCTAAGATCTGGGTACCATAAAGACATGTCATTTTAAATAATTTATTAATGCATTCAGAAATACAAACCAAAGCTAAACTTAATCTAAAACTGGGGGGAAGAAGCCATGTTGATTTTTTGTGTTCATTTGTTGTCTGTCTCAGTGAAAAGACTGATGCTTCAAAAACACAGCAGAAAACATGTATTTTACCGTCTCCACTAGGTGGAGCCACAGTACACCCTGAAACAGTTTAAAAATGCACTGAAAATAACTTTAACAAGCAAGTTTTTTCAACAAAATTATGCTACTTTCTTTTACGTTTTTAAATGTTTTATCAGACAAATTGGATAAAACATCAAGTAAGGCAGAGTACTTTTCTCTCTCTACCTATGTAATAATTGTATGGACTGTCAATCTAGGATGTAGCTGAAACACCAGGAGTAATTTTAATTTAACTATGAAGCTTTGTGTTAATTGCTGTAATTTTAATTTAACTATGAAGCTTTGTGTTAAATAATTGCTGTATTTGATAGTCTCCTGAAAGTAAAACTGTATTTGTCTTTAATATATTCCAGTCGTGGGTTGCACAGTGGCGCAGTTGGTAGAGCTGTTGCCGTGCAGCAAGAAGGTTCTGGGTTCGATTCCCGGCCCCGGTCTTTCTGCATGGAGTTTGCATGTTCTCCCTGTGCATGCGTGGGTTTTCTCCGGGTACTCCGGTTTCCTCCCACAGTCCAAAAAAACATGACTGTTAGGTTAATTGGTCTAAAATTGCCCCTAGGTGTGTGTGTGTGTGTTGCCGCCTCTCGCCCGGAACGTTAGCTGGAGATAGGCACCAGCACCCCTCCCGACCCCACTGAGGGACAAGGGTGTTCAGAAAATGGATGGATGGATGTTCCAGTCGTAATATTTGGGTATTTAGTTTGTTTAGATTTGACACTCTTGAGTTTCCATAGTCAGTTCATTTCTTAGTTTTAAGGCTCTTGTAATTCCCATCCACGTGCTTTTAGTGCTACACTGTAGTATTTTGCATCTCTTTCCACAGACAGTAAATTTGTGTGTATTCTTAGGTTTGTTAAAGCATTATCCCACAATTAATTTAATGTTACTTTAAATTTGTTATTAAAAAACTGACAATAATAACTTACTTTGATATCTTTTATTTTCTCTGTTATTTAAAGCTCAACTGTGATTGCTGGATTGCTTTAAATTACTTGATTTTCAACAGGATTTCTAGTCTCTTTTTTATTGGAGAATAGAACAACGCAGTTGTAAAACTGAGGAACTGGTTTAAGGATAAAGTTACACATTTCAATCAAAAAAACCTAAAAAGTCTCAACATTTAAAAATGGGTGTTTTGAAGTTTTTTTCTGTCACTTCACACGGATGTGGTCCCAGCACACAACATGTTTCAACAGTTGTGTTGAAACATGAAAAATCCTCTTAGTTTTCTACTTAATCTTGTCACCAAACCAGCATGTTCAAACACTGAAGAGCTGCTTAACTTGTGGGTGTTTACATTTCCTGAATCTTGTTCAATAATGTTCTATAACAAATCTCTCTGATCTTCACAGAGCGGCTGGATTTGTACTGTAAAATCACACAAATGGAGTGTGTTGACCAATTAGGAGACCTCTACTGACAATTGGCTGCCCTAGATTTTAATTAGGAGCATTAACATAACTGGAAACAAATGCATGCCACACTTTTCAAAAGCAAATATAGAAAAGAAAAAGTTCAAGAGGCACAAACATTGACAGCTTTGTACAGCACTTCATACTGACAGAGCTCTCGCCGCTCCTCCGTCTGGAATGAAGTTTATCTTGATCAAACCTCCGGCCCCTTCAGGCTTCCTGGTTTTAATTCTCCTCGTAGTTCTGTCGGCTCACAGAGAGCTTTATATGCTGTCGTGTTTTACTCTGGCTAACATGGCTCATCAGGGAAATCCTGAGCACAATGAGAACTTTTGCTGCATGATCTGTCTGGACCTACTGAAGGATCCGGTGACGCTTCATTGTGGGCACAACTACTGCAACAATTGCATAGAGAAGTACTGGGATGAAAAGAAGCTGAGTGAAACGTACAGCTGTCCTTTGTGCAGACGGAGCAATAGATCCAGGCCTAATCTGGCAAAGAACACCCTGCTAGCAGATGCGATAGAGCTGCTTGGAAAGAGTCAAGCTGCACCTGAGCTTGGTTCCTCTTCTGGACGTGAAGTATCAGATTCTAGAGCCAGAACCGAGTGTAAAACCTATGAAAAGATCGAGAAGAACGTCTGCTCCAATCACAAGGACGAGCAGATGAAGTTATTCTGCCGCACTCATCAGACGTGTATCTGCAGCCTCTGCTCAGTGGAGGAGCATAAAGGCGATGACATAGTTTCAGCTAAAGCAGAGAGGACTGAGAAGCAGAGAGAGATTCACTCGAACCTTCAGGAGATTCAGCAGAACATTAAAGACAGAGAAGAAGACATCAAGATGCTTCAGCAGGAAATGGGGACTATTGATGCCTCTGCTGAGAAGGCAGTGAGGAGGAGCAGTGAAATTTTTGCTGAGCTGATCAACCTGTTGAAGAAAAGAAGCTCGGATGTGAAGCAGCAGATCAGGAAGCAGCAGAAAGCCGCCGAGAGTCAGATCAATGAGTACAAAGCGAGACTAGAGACAGAGATCTCTGAGCTCAGAGGGAGAGAAGAGGAGCTCCAGCAGCTGTCCCGCACAGACGATCACGTCCAGTTCATCCACAAGTTCTCGCTGCTGGGAAAACCCGACAAAGCCACAGATTCCCTCAAATTTAAAGAAACTCCTTCGTGTTACTTTAGGGATCTGATAGCAGCGGTAGCAGAAGCTGGAGGCAAACTGAAGCGCTTCGTTCATGAGGAAACCACAAAGACGTCAGCGATGGAGACGGAGCTGAACGTGGTGATGTCACCAGCCGAGCCCAAGACCAGAGCGGACTTCCTGCAGCGTTCCCAACCGGTCAGCCTGAACCCGAACACGGCCCACAGAAAGCTGCTTCTGTCTCTGGGAAACAAGAGAGTCACGCGTGCCAACAAATTCATATGTCCCCTTCATCCTGACAGATTCACAGAATGGGCCCAGGCCCTGAGCACAGAGAGCTTTACTGGCTGCTGTTACTGGGAGGTGAAGTGGACTGGGAGAGTTACAGTAGCTGTGGCGACCAGGAGGATGAGCAGAACAGGAAGGCAAAGTGAGTTTGGGAGCAACACGGAGTCCTGGGCTTTGGAGTGCTACAGAGACTGTTTTGTATTCGGACACGATGGAGTAAAAACATGCGTGTCCGGTCCCCAGTCCTCCACGGTGGGCGTGTACCTGGACCACACAGCAGGGAGCCTGTCCTTTTTCAGTGTCTCCGACAGCATGGAGCTCCTCCACAGAGTCCAAACTACGTTTACTCAGCCTTTACACGCCGGGCTTTGGGTTGGTGTTTGTGATGGATCTGCTGCTGAGTTCTGCTAACAGTTTTTACGAGGCATCTTTTCAGGCCGGATGAAAACAGAAACACCCCATACTCTGCTGTTTTTCATAGAAGACTTGGGCTGAAAGTTTTCAGGAGATGGCCTAATGTCTTCCAGGGGAGCAGGTGGATTCTTTGCTAAGCGGGAAAAAAAAGCATGTTTATTTTAAAAAGGAAACAGACGAGGCAGAAATGTTGGTAGTTTATTCATTGACTTAAAGCCAAAATTGATTTAAAGAACAAACTATGCTTGAAAAATGTAAAATATGTTGAAGTGCTTCTACATCTTCATCTTCTACATAAAAAAGTAACTTTGTGTACAAGTCTTCTGAAGATGCTTGATATTTGCAACTCCAGGAGAGCAGGAAGAAATTTCTCGGCACTGATTTCAGAAAACGTCTGACTTTTAATTTGATTATAGGTAAAGGAAAAGAAAATGAAATGTGGATTGAAGCAAAACAGACTTTAGCACCTCTTCTCATTTTGACAACCAAAAACATTTGATGGACTTTATTGGGATAACATATAGTGCATCATTTTACTTTTCTACTAAAAACATTTAAATTGTGCAAATGCATTTAGCCCATTTTATTGAGTTGTCCCAAAATAAAGTTTTAGAACGACAATTATCTTCCAAAATCTCCTAACTGATAAACAGTGTCCTCTGCCGCTAAGTTAATGTTAGCAATGTTAAGGCCTAAGAGGTTTATTGGAGAACATTAGTAAACAGACAGCAACTAAGCGGAAGAAGGAGCTCTGGTCGGATGAGATGAACTTTTTGGCAAACAAGCAAAATGCTTTGAGTTTTATAGTTAAATTCTCAGATAACGATGCTCCTTCAGTTTTGAAAAGAAGTGGCTAAGTTGCAAAACTTGTACTTTTAACACTTTACATCACATTGCTGCTGTAAAGAGATAAATGTCCCATCAATAAGTCAAAGCTTCATTCACACAACTGAAGAAATATCTATATGCGTTTACTGAGTGCCACTCCATTTTTTTTTTTATTTGAATACAATATTTACAGGTGTATTACATTTACAGTCACATGTAAGCTCAGCAAAGATATTATTCACTGAAAATAGTTCTTATAAATTTTTACATTTTTTGAGATTTTTACATTTTTACCATTACATAAAATGTGAACCATACTAAGATTGGCTCCTGAGTGAGGGATGTGTGTATGTGTGTGTGTTATTTCTCAATGTGAAGCAGCCGGATCTCGTCTACCCTGTTGCGATGCAGCTGGAAGGCGGGCATGACCCAGCGGCCGCACGAACACTGATCTCCACACCAACTGAACGAGCCCAGCTTGGAGCGACATTTTGGACAGAGCAGCTGCACAAACACAGAAACGATGTGGGGGGGTTTTTATGTGAAGTCCAAGGAATGTTATCCAGTCAAAGTTTATTTAAGCAGCACATTTACAACAACCTCAGCTGACCAAAGTGCTTCACAATAATTATATCATAAATAGATAAATAAAATAAGATAAAATGACGTTTGATGAAAACAAAATGCAATAATAAAGTTGGCTGTAAAATGCTAAAACAAAACAAAAAAACCCAGACATCCTTAATTTCAGTTGCAGCAATTTCCGCAAAACTCAAATCATGTAATTTTTTTAATTTTTTTATCTTTCTTTCTTTTTCTTCCCTTTTTGAAGCAAAATAGATGAGTTTTCAGTCTGGACTTAAACTGACCTACTGACTGAGAGAGAAGGAGACTTTTCAGTCTGGGTGCTGCACAGAGGAAGCTCTGTCACCTCTAGTCTTCAACCTGGTTTTAGCCAACAGAAGCTGGCTGGCTGACCTCGGGGCTCTGGGTGGAGCGGAGGGCTGCAAGAGCTCACTTATCCTCCAGACAGCTACTGAGTCACATTTCAGAAAATATGTCCCTGTGGTTCAAAACCGTTGCAATAATCTTATTTATACGATGCATAACATTTCAGAAGAGAAAGTTCCTCAAAGTTCCCAGATACTCCAACTTACTTAAAAAAGTTAAATAATAATTACAAAGTGCTTGATTCATATTTAAATTGCATTAATGACCAGAATTTTTTTTACATATTTTTCTAATCTTTAGATATATGTTTATGTTGTGATTTTGTCTCTGTTGTGTTCTTTGTGAAAGGTATCAATAAAGACTGTGTGTTTGCTCAGTAAAAAGAAGAAACTGTCTCTTCTCACTGGAGTTTTTTACCCACTGAATAAACAGTATAGTGGTCTTTGTGAGATCACTATGCTACTGCAGAGAAAGATTCTTTTTGCACATATTTATTGCATATTTTTACACGCATCACTAAGTTCAGAGTGGAAAACAATGCAATTTATGGTCAAATTAAAAAAATAATTTATGTTCTGGTAAGAAAAATGTCTATACTATTGACTTAGTATACATCTGATAAATATCTCAAAATGATTCAATATTTTTGGACAATTTTCCTCTAAACACTTTCTTACTGATGAGAAGTAGACATGTTTCTGTGGTCAGAGCTTTTCTTTCCCCATGTGTGACTCTAAGGATGCCTTACCTGTCCATTCATAACTCCAAGTAACGCCGGCTCCATCCACTGAACCGGCTCGATGAAGTACGACGTACACTGGACTTCTCCTGGAAAAACACACCACAATTCATGTTAGAGACTAAGAGAGAAAATCCAAGATCAACATGTCCATAATGTCCTGAAACATGGATAATAAAAGCAATTCCCCCCTGCCCCCCAAGTACTACCACTAATACGGAAACCCACTTTGATCAGGAACTAAGACACATCCAGCTTGGTGGCAATGATGTGTTTGTTGCATTGTGAAATAAGAACTGACTCCTACCTGTGAGGTTACTGGGCTTCTTGTGACTGAAGGCCGACGCTCCCTCTCCTACAGAATGACTGAGAATACTGGAGCCGCGAAACAGAGTCCGTCTGAAGAGGAGACAGTGGAGAACAACGCAGAAATAAACATGAGTGAAACTGCAGCTTTAGCAGCAGCAGTTTCACTAAGAAAGCATATTGAAGTTGAATGAAAAGTCAACTTGCCTGCATTTTCTGCATCTGTAAGACAATTCAGAGGAGTTGGAGTGGGCGGGATCACATGCAAAAATCTCTCTGGGCAACTCTGCAGCGCCCTGCTGTAACTCTGCTCAAACAAACAGACCAGGGAGAAGGAACAATTAGAGAAAAAAAAAAAAAAAACAAAACACAAAAATGATGATCTGCGTCAAATGCAAGGAGTTTCTCATCTGTGTCTACCCGGGTATTTCTCTGTGACCTTCTGCAGTCTGTACTGTTTGTAGGAAGGACTGGATGGATCCACTTCGCAGTGCATGGCTTCATAGAGATGCAGCTGCTCCTCAAAGCCACTGTTCACCCTGCAAAAACACATCTGGAAACTTAAAACTGGAAGCAGCAAATTTTTGCTCTCATTGTAACACCAAGGAGAGGCACGCCTCTGAGTTCCTATCTGTAACCATAACCTTGACATTTTTGGAGTTTTATACAAGAAAAGTGGCTCACAGTGGTTCAATCAAGACAACGAATATTTGTTTGTTCATTCGTGTGAAATTAGACACATGAATTTCATAAGTATTGATCTGACTAAATAAAGTTTTATCTGAGAACAGAGCAGGCAGACTGACAGACACTCACTGGACATCCTGTTTGAGACTTTTCAGTTTGTTGTAGGCCTCAGCGAAGCCCAGCTGGTGTTTCTTCATCAGATACGCCGTTACGATGGTGGCACTGCGGCTCCTCCCCGCCTGGCTGGAACGTGTGTAAAAGCAGTGAATAAAAATAAGAGCAACAGAGAAAGGTGCTCGCTGATGTGAGAGTAGGGAGTGTTTGATTCGATTTAAAGAAAATAAGAATCTAATGACAATTCTCAGGAGAAAAGGTGTAGTAATTCACCTTTGACCTCCGACCCTCACCAGTGAACGAGTGCTGCCCCACCCGCTTTAACCGCCTCCTCAATGAAGACAAAACAGGCATCCATGTGACTGAGGAGATCAGACGCGGCTTCATCTAGAACGTCGATCCACTTCCTGGAGAGCTTCCTATCAGCAGGGAGCAGCAGGGAGGGATCCACAGAGTCCACAGACAGGATGTGAGTAACAGACGCAGCGTCCAACGCCTGCCTGTCGTTCAGGTCGCCCGCAGTGCCGATGTACACACCGGCGTCCACCAGCAGCATGACTGCAGAGAGACAAAAACAAAAAGTTGTTGGATCATGTTATTTTTTAGTTGATAGCTTCTTCAAAGACTTATTCTGCTTTTGGCCTCATTCAATCTTGGACCAGATCTGTTATCTTGTTCCAACACCTTTACAATACTGTGGGACTTTAGAAAAATGTGCATTAAATAATGAAACCCATATACTTTTCAGCTACTGAAGTATTTTAATTTGTTCTAAAAACATTTCAAAGCATCTTCAGTGCAGAGAAAAAGAACTTGGACCTTCAACATTCAGTCAAGGAGCTTATTTTTACCTTTAAAACTGCATTAAACATGTTTGTTATTTCGTGTGAAAACAAAATTAATTATTAAAGCGACTTTGAACCTGAGTGAAGAATTTCTTTCTAAGGTGTAAAACATAACAGAAATCCTAAATAATGTTCATGTTTAATGCCCTCTACAAAATCTTGAACTGCAGATTTGTTTAAAATGCATAAACGTAATTTATGAGATTAATCACTTTATGATTAATCCATAATTACTGCAATCACAATCTAAGTGAACTCTTTTACAGCAGTGTGGGTATTTCAGTAAACACATTAAAATGTAAAGCTAAAAGATTACGCAAAAATTATTTTTTGTGCCGATAAACATCTAAAATAGTGAAGTTGTTTGCTAATTTGTTTCAAAGACGTTGCGACGAACTATAAGGATAAAAACTGTAATCTTGAATTAATCACAGTAAACAAGCATGCTGTTTTAGTCTGCCGACCCACCTGATTAACAAAATTATTTCTTTTCCCCACAAAATCTGCAGCTTTCAATCTGGCCTGATGAGCCTTGAGCATAAAATGTTTCGCTTACAGTGGAAGCGAATCTAATAAAGAAAAGCTGAGGCAAATTCAGAAGTAAACGAACGACAGCAGCAGATACAGTGGTGTTTGGTTCGTCGCTTAAAGAGTACGGTCGGAAACATAAGAACGTACTCTTGCGTTCCGGTTTTCTGTGGTTTCCTTTATTTCGGGAAAATCCTCTGCTCGGAATAAATAAATAAATAAATAAATAAATAAATAAATAAATAAATAAATAAATAAATAAATAAATAAAGGGGACAGCAGTATGTATTGATAATTATATTATTGTCTTTAGACAAAAGTATTTTCATCTGTCTCAAGGCTTTCAATCTATCTGACTGATAAAAGTCTGTTAGTCTGGAAGGGTAGGTTTTCTTTTTTAGGGAGACACATTTGAATGAAAAGAATCAAACATATTTTACAAAAGAAGGTTTATTCTCACAATACTAAAACCTCAGTTGTTATCTGAATGATTACATTTCAAGTAGAATCAATAACTGAACTATTAGCAATCACACTAATCTGACAATTAATTAACTAACAAGACATAACAGACAAACATGCAATCTAGATACCTAAAAGAAATTCTGACAAGATTTGAAAATGAACATTCAGGTTTTCTTTAGTTGATAAAAGACCAAACAGCCCGTCCCTGTGGAAAGGTAAACTCATGAACAAACTCAAAAATAAATGCATCACTTGGATTTCTAAATACCTCACTCAACTTTAGGAAAGTTTAGAAAAGACATGCTCCAACTAGAGATGCATCCATGTTTGTATAATTTTTTCCTTTGTTTGCATGTGTCATCTGATTTATACATTTTACACAAACTATTTCTGGTCAATTTATCTGGTCAATAATTCCTAAATCAAACTAAAAAAAAATCTTAATGTGATATTTTTTCTCACTGAATAAATGTTTTAATAAAAGTTTGATTGTTGATGTTTCAGTGACATGCTGAATGCAATAAAATATGTTTGTCATATATGTAATACATATATGTATGACACACAAAAAAAGATGTTTTGAAAAATGTAAAGTAGTAAAATGCTGCATAAAACTACATAAATATAGTTAGAAGCTCATTTTCACAGCCAATAAAACAAAATCTTTTTAAATTAAAAGAAAATCTATAAAAACACACCAAGAAGAGATTTTTTTTATTGTGTTTTGTAATTCTTGTTTAACTGGGCAAGAATAATAAATTAGAAATAATGTTATAAAATAGGAAATTTTAAATAAAAACGGTCGCAGTGTGCTCATTTTATGAAGTCATTAGTAAACATAAAAAAGGGTCATTCTTTCCACACTGGCAAAATAAAACTTCACCATGAAAGTGACCTCAACTATAAAACCAAAGAGCAGAAACAGGGAGGAAGATACCAAGAACATTAGGTAATGTACGTGTTGAGTCCATCACAGAGTTACTACCTCTGAAACTGAATGAAGTAAGTTTATGGTTATTCTGTCGACTCCTATTATAGCAGCTACAGACACAATGAGGCACATTGTGTCTGCAGTGAACAGTCTGACTTTGTAGTTCATTTTGAAACAATTACATTTGCTTCTTCTTGTCATGTTTCTCACTTTTAAACACACGATGGCTGTCTGGTTTGCTGTCTCTTGACACTTAGAACATCTGTGGAGCTCTGAACCGCCCGCCAGCCTTCGACCCACAGTCTGTAAATGGTCATAGTGTGGGGTGTTAATAAAGTTTTAAGAGCTTCTTTAATCTGACCGCCTGACCAGCACAGAACAACCCTGCTGGGACTACACCCCTCCCAGAGCGCTTATTAAGGTATAATTAACTGCGAGAAAGGAAGTATACGACGACAAACACAGAGAAAACACAGTGGAGTTCAGCAGGTGAACAGGAAATAAGTGGGTGTGTTTATGCGTGTTTGTTCTGTTGACTCGCACTGATTGCGCTATTGCTCTACCAGATGCACAGTTGCACAATTTTAAGCCATTCGATATAAAAAGTTTCGAAATTTGACCAATTTAAATTCTCTGTGTGCAACTGTTGCCAACAGCTACAGTGTTTATTTCTCATAAAGGTTCACATTTATACTGTATGCTAATTAAACTATTCAGGGACCAGTTAGTAACTATGTGTGATCTCTCACTGTTTAGGCAGGAAGCACGAAAACATTGTTCATTCTTAAACAGAAATGGTCTGAAATCATGCCTATAAAATGTTGTCATCTCTAATAAATTAGTATATGTGCTACGACGAGGCTCAGATTAAAAAAAGCCTTTCATACAGCTTGCGTATTTGTTTTTTGTAAAAAAACTTAAAAATAAATGCATCTCTATTGGTGTAGCAATACCTCACAAACACCATCAGAAATATATTCTGTGTTGAATTAATTTCATTTTAATTATTTCTGACACTTTTCATAATAATTGTGTTATGTACTTACTGTTGGTATTGACTGTATTTATTGACAAAATTTAGATAGTTAAGTCATTCTGACCATGTTTGTAAAACCTTTGTTTTCAGCAAGACAAATTACTCATTGTCCAGATAAGGCAGGAAAATTAGCCTGTAGGCACATTTACAAAAAGATGTTAATTATTCTTTCTCAGCCAAATAAATTAAATGCAAATTAATTCAAGTGTGTACTTAAACATGTCTTTGTGGCCAAACCAAAATACATCAAGCGGTGATCAGACTTGATCATAAATACATCATTTGCTTTTGTTATGTCCGTCGAAATGAACTATATTGATGAATGCCAAATACTCAATCCCTATTAAACTGAAAGTCCTTGATTCATTGCTTGAATTGTTACAAACAAAAATGTTGAAATAGCTGTCGAAATCTGTGGAGCAAATTTTAACAGTTTCTTTTTTTAATCTTTCATGAAAATGTCTCCCAACCTCAGTTTTAATGATGATATTGTTTAGCCCTTTCATGCATGAATTATGATCCTTTGTGTCAGGATTTCTTCCAATTTTCCTTTTATTTTCGTAAGGCATAAAAAAGTAGGAAAAAAAATTAAAAAAATTTGTTGTTTTTATTTTTTTTTTAGGTGATCAATTGTAATTTTCTCCAAATACAAAGTTGTTTTTTGAAAAATACATCAGTAGTATTGTTCTTTAGGGGTTATCTGATGTCACAATATTTTTTTTTACCTGCAAGAATCGACCACAGTAGAAGGAGGGACCGGGTCGGTCGGCATGCTTTTTTGTCTGTCGGCCATATTGGATTTAACAAAAATAATTTCTTGCATTTGCAGCTGATGGCCAGTAGTTGATGGTGTATTTTATGATGCATTAGTGTCCACTTCCGTGGTCTGTGTGCATTTATCACATAAAAATCCACAAGAAGCACAAGAAAATGGCCTTTAGACAGCTGTCCACTGTAGTGGACAGCTGTCTGGACTATGCATGAAAGGGTTAGTTGTACTCAGAGGGCGCTTCTAACATTTGCCGTGAATAAATTTGTACTTTTATTTTCTGCAAAATAAAAGTACATATGTATCTTTCACATATGCCGAATATGTGAAAGATACATATTCGGCATCTTTCACTCATTTACCTCACTTACTGTAACCGTAGGTTACCATGTAAGATGATGGATGGATGGATGGATGGATGGTGCCAGAGTGAAACTATAATCAGTCAATCTGTCAGACAGCTGGATAAACTTTTAAAAACATTTTTTTGTGTGCATGTTGACTTCCGCAGATGAGACGGAGGAAACCTAAAAGAATCAGTTCGTCTGCTGCATAAAGCCGTCGTCGTCTTTGTTGCCCCGTTACATCAATTTCTCATTTCACGCTCCTTCATCTCACCCCTGCGAAAAGCCAACCTCTCCGAGACGATGTTTACGACCTGAAAGCTGAGATGAACAATCGAAAGTCCCCCACAAAAATGTTCAAAAGCAAATTTACTTCCGTTTTGGCTCCGGTTCCTCGTTATTTAAACTGGTTGGTTAATGGAAATTTCAACCCAAGGGCAACAGGTGGGAGTGGGATCCTACGTAACTAGAGACCTCAAATGAAAAAGACTTCATTGTTTTTATTTGTAAAGCAAGATGACAAGGAGATTTACAAGCACCTCAAAGGTATTAGATTGGATTTAAGACGTGTCCCAACAATTTTGTTATATAAATACCAATGAAAGTAATTAGAGGGATTTGAAATAACTTACTTTCTGCTCACCGTCTAGAAGCAACTAATCAAGCGTAGGAAGCATTACTGGCAGCGTAGGACTTTTAAAAACACCTAGAGAGTTTTTAATGAGTCTGAGGGTGTAGCGTTAGTGTGTTTGTGATGCTAATTAAAAGTGTCCTGTGTCAGTGGCTTTCCAGATCCAGATGCGTCATCCTGTTCCTCATATAAAAGTCCGACAGTCTGACCCAGTGACAGAAGGAGGAGAGAAGCGATACAAAGGAGGTAATTTACGGTTACTGCTTTCCTGCTATCACTTCCTTCCTCATGTTGTTATAATTTATGTGTCCTTATCGTTGTTCCAGTCAGATTTTGTTCTAATTAAGACCCAATATGGAGAAGATGATGACCAAGCTGAGGCTTCTGCTGCTTTGCCTGTCTGCGACCTATGCTGCTGCTGCTGCACCAGGTAAGGTCTGACACTTTCACAGGACTGAACTTGGCCTTTCCGATGTTTAAAAAAAAAAAAAAAAAAAAAGACAGAGTCTTTTTAGATCTAATATTCATCTGTGCATCATGTTTCCTAATATTATCTGCTTATAATTTATCTTGTTATGCTATTTCAGGACTTTCCAAGATGTGAATTACATTTAACTTTGTTGTTTTCAGGCAGCTGCGTCGGCCGTTGTGGGGAGGTTTTCACAAGAGGTCAGCAGTGTACCTGTGACTTCAGCTGCCTGCAGCACAAAGAGTGCTGCCCTGATTTCCTGGCTACCTGCACCACCAGTAAGACACTTACTGCATCCAGAGCACTTTTCTTTTCCTTTTTTTTTCTTTTTTCTTTTTTGCACACGCCAAAGTAAAATTTATAGTCTAAATGTATGGACTTTTTTCAGTATATTGTATCATGAATATGAATGTCGCATCTGGATCTGACTAACATTTGATGTTGGGTTCAATTCCTTTCTGTCTTCCCATCTCAAGATGGAAGTTATATGTAAATAAACGTCACAAGATTTTCTTAAATTGTTATTGACCTTCTTTTCGGCTGAAAACGTAACTAATCTGATATTTTATGTGAAAAGGCTGTTATTTTAACTAAAGACAGCTAAGCTTCTTTTAACACTTTGTTTTAGTTTCCTTCTTGTTCCAGTTAATTTATTTTAACTTTTGCTTGTTAGTTTTCTGTGGTTACAACTTTTTGCCAGTTTCTGCTGATTTCTTGTCCGCTCATCTAAAAATCTCCCCAACCTCTTTGGGATTTTCTAAATTAATATTTCCTCCTTATATTGTGTTTATGTATTTCTGCATATTGATTGAAGGTTTTCACTACTATTTTAAACAGCTGTTTCTATTTCAAACTATTTAGACTATAAGTTAGTTGTATTAATTGACTGTTTTATTAATTTTGTAGATTTTTTATATTAATGTTTAAATTTTTCACAGTACTCTTCCTATCCTTCCTTTTGGTCCTCTTCCTTCAAGTGATCATTTTAGAGGCTTCAATATTTGTTTCTTGATCAGAATAACATTTTTCTATGACCACTGAAAATTTGATCTCATAACATGTTAGTTAAATAACCATTCAACCCAGCTGACTCAGACAGATGGGAACTGATCCGTGTTTCTGGGTCTTCTCAGCTCCGTCGTGTCGGGGCCGCTGCAGTGAGACGTTCAGGAGAGGTCGGACGTGCGACTGCGATCCGCTGTGCGTCCAGTACAACACCTGCTGCCAGGACTTCCAGCTGCACTGCGGTGGGAACCTCCTCATATTCCTTTGGGGAAAAACTCTTCATAATCCTCGAACTTTTTTTTTTTTAACATAAAATTTATTTTAGCACATAGCAGGAAGGTATGAGGAAAATGATTTTTTTTTTTTTCTGTTCTGAAGACTTCACATATAAATTAGAGAACGTTAGTGGCACAATAAAGACAAAGCAGACAGTTTGGAGGAAGGTTGCATTGGCAAGACATGGCCATTGAACAGGCCAGAAAATAAAAAAACATTATTCAGAGAAGGAGCCCAGAGGCCTGCAGTAACTCTGGTGGAGCTGCAGGGATCCACAACTCAGGTGGAAGAAACTGTAGACAGAACCATTTTTTGTTGTGCACACAACAAATCTGGTCTTCATGGAAAAGTGGCAAGTAGAAAGTTAAATCCCAACAAAAATCACTGATGTTTGTGGCTGGATGGGCCAAAATGTGAAGAGGTATCGATACTTTTGCTAGGAATTGTAAACTCATGCTGCCGAATGATTAGTGATGAATTAGCAAGACTTTGCTAATATGCTGCTTTTGTCTCCACAGATGCCGCTGTGAGCGTCCCACATCATGGAGGCCCCCAAACTCTGAGGACCACAGGCTCCAGTTAGCAGAAATATTTATGATGGCGATAGTTTTACAAAACAAAAATAAAAAATTGCTTTTCCATCAGTCATTAGTTTGCAGGTTTTCCACAAAAAAAAAAAGAATTGGGATTCAAATTCTTAATTATTATCTCCCAATACTTTGCAAAGTCTCACACTGAGAATATATATATAGGACATGTTAATGCAGTCAGACGATGTTCAGAGAAACAAAAGCATCAATTCAGAGAACTGACAAAAACACATTTTTGTAGAAATGTCGACCCTGAATAAAGAATAACAGTGGTTCTTACTTAACATGTTACATCTACCAAATCACCTACTTGTGTTTTGTTTTCTCATCTTTACCAGAAAACAGGAACCCAGACAGGAGTCGGCACAGTTCCAACAGCGAGAGTGAGGAACGGTACACAGGTAGGTCGATGCAATAAAAAATGGCTTAATATTTTTTTTATAATTAAACTTAATTTCAAGTTTAATTATAAACTTGAAATAAAAAAAATGAAGTTGTGCTTATCCTATCACCTGAAGTGAATCTGTTTTATAGTCAGAACAAATAGTCTAACAGGAAAAGGAGAATTCATTGTGCGAACATTTTGAGAGTTAGCCACATCAGTCAGAACACGTTTCTATGGTGATCAACGCTGTGTTGTTCGTTAACCTCTAAAGGAAGAGGTGGGCGTTGTCCTCAGTACCCAGGAGGTCAGTGTTCAGGAAGGTTTGGCCCCACAAACCCTCTGCCAACTGGCTCACTGGGCTCCAATCCTCCTGCTGTTCCAGGTAAACATCTATAAGTCTAACTCCTTTCAATACTTATAATTGAATCTTGGATCAGAGCTGAAAGATATTTTCATTTCTTCCCGTCTTGCAGGTGATGGTAACACCGCGGTAGGCCCGCTGCCCGGGCAAGTGTCTACCTCTCTGGGTGGGACTCATCAGCTCTCAGCAGTTCACCTGCCCCGGCCCAGCAACGGTGCTCCGGTTCTGGATGGCAGGGTTCCTGTTGGCTCCTCCACCAATGGAGCTGGAGATGGGAAACTAAACGTCCATCTGGTGATCGCCCCAGGCGGCCTCAATCCATCTGGGCCCAGTCAAGGTAAGTTCACATAATTGATAGATTTTTCTCTCACTTTTACTTCTTCGTGGTTTAATAGTCAATGCAATTCGCTTTTTATTGGTAAAAAAAAAAAAAAAAAGCACTCTGCTCTTTTATTCTCATCAGGAGGTCCAGCTCAACCCAGACCCAGCACCCTGCTGGATGTGGCCCAGGCTTTGGGTCTCTCTGTTGGACAAAGAGTCCCTGAAGGACCTGGGACAGGTACGGTTAGTGATCTTATCGAGGCGTCTCTTTTTGATGGGATCTCGCTAATTTTGCATGCTTTTGTGTAGGACTCATGTCGAATGCCGACCTGTGCAGTGGATCCCCCATCAACGGACTGACCGCTCTCGGCAACGGCACCGTACTGATATTTAAAGGTCAGCTGTCTGATCATCAACAGGTGAGTTCAGTAACTACGGATAAAAGTGTGTAAAGCGTGTGTGTTGCAGGCGAGTTGTTTTGGGCCGTTGACTCCGTCGGAGGCTCCATTGGTCCTCCGCAAAACATCAGAGACACTCTGGGGGTCTCGTCACCCATCGATACGGTCTTCACACGAATGGACTGCAGTGGAAACACCTACGTCATCAAGGTATTAAACTCAGATCAAGGTAATCCCATCTAACATCCCGTCAGGCCTGGAGCTCGCTGGATGTCTCAGCTGAATCCAACACCTTGGATGAAAAACCTATTTTAGCATGTTTGATCATGACAAGGGGTCTCCTATGAATATTTAATTTGATTCATTAAATTAAAAATAAGATTCTCAAGGAGGGTTATGAATCAGAAAAGAGTCCAGTCTGGATTATAAATTCATATTCAGGCAGGAGGAATAGCACAAAACACAACTTGTGTATTTTCTACTTTACAAATACTGTAAAATATATTACCAAAGCTTAACATCAGAGTTGTTTAGCACTGCTGAAAGCCAAGTAGCAAAACAATTTGGCTTTAAAGACCTTATCCGACCTCAGCCTTTTTTTTATCACTACATTCTGCCACAAACTAGACATTCTTAACACGTGACCCAAATTAAAATAAGTTTGACAGACCAGTCAGTTTACTTCATGATGATGGGAGTTTTTCCATCAGCTCTTTGTCCGTTGCCCAGGGAAACCAGTGCTGGCGTCTGGATGAGAACCTGATGGTGAAGCCTGGCTACCCGAAACCTTTGACCTCTGAGTTTCCTGGTCTGACGGGTCCCATCAGCGCTGCTCTGGTGGTGCCGGCCACCAGGAACAGACTGGAGACCATTTTCTTCTTCAAGCCGGGTGAGCAGGAAACAGCCGCTCACTGACAGGATCTAACAGATTTAAATCTACGCGTCGTCATCTCCAGATGACGATACGACAGATGGAGAGTATGTCTGGTTTCAGACAGCGACTGTTTTGGCTTGTTAAAACTAATGTTGTTTCTGTCTAGGAGACATAATGCAGAGGTTCACCGTCCTCCCAGGCAGCTCTGCGTCCTGCAGGGACAAACCAAAAAGCTCCACGCTGAAAAACTTTGCCCAACAGGCCGGTCAGTAAAACGGATATTTTGATGCAATCATGTAAAGGAGATTGCATCCGTTTTGCTTAAATCCGCTCTCATGCCGTTTGCATTTCAGCAGCAGACGTTCTTCTGAGCGGGGAGATCAACATCAAAGTTTCTCTGACGGGCTTCCCATCCCCCGTCACCTCCGCTCTGTCCATGCCCGCTCCGCAGAGCACCAACCCGTACCAACTCTTCGTCTTCTCTGGACGTAAGTACCAGTCTGATCCGGATTGTAGACCATGAGTCCTCAGCAGTCTTCACACCCCTGGATTTCATTTTACAATTTGTATTTCAAAAAGTTTCACGTAACGGACCAACACAAATTAGTGCACAGCGTAAGTGGAATGACAATTTTAAGTGGTTTTCAAAACTGTTTTATACATAAGAGCATGAAAAGTGTGGCATGCACTTGTTTCTTCAAGTATCCCAGGTAGAAATGACTTTTACTGTAATTACAGCAAATCTTTTGCGATACATCTTTACCAGCTTTGCATATCTAGAGTCTGGGAACGTTCTAGAAATTAACTTGGACTCAGATAGGATGGAGAGCATCTGCAAAAATCAATTTACATGGTTGCCACAGATCATGATTTAGGTTAAGACTTTGACTGGGCCGTTCTAACATGAACAAGCTTGTTTCTAAGCCGCCCCATTGAAGCACCGGCTCTGTGATCTGGGTAATTTTTGAACTTCGTCAACCGATTCTCCCACCATAGCTGTGGATCTCTGCAGCTCCTCCAGAGCAACCAGGGGAGTTTGCTGCTATAAAGCAATAAATCATATGATAAAAACCCTGATTTGTATTTGTTTTGTGCTTGTAAAACAGAGAAATTGACTGGGTGGAAATAAGTTTCAAGACACCGTCATTTAAAAGCAGCGAAGTGCAGTATTCACTGGAACATCATCACAAAAAAAATCCTTTATTTGTTACAAGGATTCAGAGATCAGTACTTAAAAACAAATAATAGAGATAAAAAAAGTGAATATTGAAGGTTTATAAACTAAAATAAATGGTGTAATGTGATTTGAGAATAATACTGTGAATTTTTCACTTTAAATTTAAAGTGTTGCATGCCCATTACGTTACCTTTTTCAAATTTTACATCATATAATCAGTGTATGTGTAATCCTGAACTCTTTGTTGTCTACACAGCTCTCTATTTCAGAGTCCAGATCACAGGAGACCTGCCGGTTCTGGTCAAACCTGACCCCCCCGCCTCCCTCACGCCTCTGCCCAACCCAGTCCTGAGCCCTCTCGTCATGGCGACCAACCCTGCCAACCCGGCAGGTCAGAACCAGAACCCCGCCCACCCGACCAACTCCATCAGGTTCTGGTTGCGCTGCCCATAGGCGCCTCCAGTGGAGAACGCTGGTTTCCTGTGTCAAGATACGTCAACAGGATGTTCTTAAAGAAATGCTTTTTGCAGTAATTCACTGCTTTTCAACACTTTAGATGATGTAAAAGTTATCAAATCTGAACCATCCGATTTTCCGTCTTTCTATACAGCATCTAAGGACTATTAGAAGAGAGTCTCCACATGACATTGCTGCTATTTGTTATTCCACTTTATTCTTAAAAACACCTGCAGAATAGGCTCTAACAGAACAAAATACAAAACAAATCAGGACAAATTACACCAAACCTCACTGGATTTTACAATCAAACATGTCTTATATGAGAAAAGACAACCTGTTACGTCTCCTATAAAATTGTGACAACTGATTTTTATGTGACCTTCAAACCTTTTGAAACATTGAAGTTAAAGTTTTTTGTTTTTTTTTATGTCCTCAACGGATAAAGATGAATCTGCAGGTAAGATCAGCGATGGGCCACACCCCCTTTTCATGTGGCTCCGCCTCTTCCTGCTCGAGAAAATGCTCCTAAAATGAGAGACAAAAACCTTTTTGACTAAACGGACCCATGCTGTGATTAAACATGTTCATGTCATATATGCTGCTTGTTGCACATCAATAAACTGCTTTATCATTGTACTCTTGAGTCACTGGAGTTTAATTATAACACAATCATGAAGCAGAAGGTTAAAAAGGCGTCGGTTCTCCTTACCTGTGCGACTGAGGATCCGTCCTCTGCCTGAGAGGATGCCCGTCTGACGCTGGCTTGTTACTGAGCGAGGCTGACTGTCACTGCTGGTGTCTGGTTAAACAAACAATAAAATCATGTGATTTTATTGTTAAATAATGATGATGGACTACAAGCTGCAACATCAAACCTGTTTAGATAGTGAGGGCATCAAGTGGTTAATAGATCGATCAAGTGTATTTGTATGCCACATTTCAGCAGTTCAATGTGCTTTACATCATAAAAGCACAAAAATACAAAGTTGTAGGACACAGTCGACAATTGAAACATTATATTTTGACAAGTGAAATGGTTACACATCAGAATGTTTCAAACTCCTGTTTAAGTGGGAAGATTATGCTCCGGGTGAACATTTTGGGGGAAAAAATGCCCCTTCAATAATGGATGCTGGTGAATTTTGCAGAAATAAATGGACAACATTCAGACAGGAGACGAACAAACCCGACGTGAGCCTGTATTACTGCATGATGTCCTGGCAGGTTCAGTAATCCACGCTTTTAACTCATCTCTTCACTGCCTGCCTTTTACTCTTACAACAGCAGCTATTAAAGCTGCCAGAAGCAATTCAGTTGTGACATAAATGTTGCTAATTTTACTTAAAGACGGCGACATGAGGTGTAAAGTGAACATTAATGGTCATGACTGTCGCATTGGGTTCTTGTTATCCCAAACAGAGTTCGCTTTTACATGACGAAAAGCTCATGTGACTGGAGGCCATTTTTTAGCTCCAGCATCAACGTTGAGGCATTAACAGAGTTTAATTGTTTGTTGGCAAGGTGCTTCAGACCAGTAGACTTATAATTCATCAGTGCTGAGTGGAGACATGCCACGCTTTAGCTTTTTGGAAAGGTTTTTACTTTTAACCCTGGAGAGATACGGTGTGTGATTGCTGCATAACAGACAGGTGTGTAAGGGCGATTTGATCATCAGACTTCTTGTACAAACTGATGGCAGATTTAAATCAATCACAGAATCGGTGAGTGAGGATGGGATTGCAGCTGTTTTATTATATCGAGCTTTACATGTTGCAAACAGCAGCACCTCTTGGTTGAAACCTGAGGAGGCTTAAATAATGTAAACTACAGTAATCGAGAATTTACAATCCAGGCCATGATTTAAGATTAAAGGATTATTGAACGGAGTAAATTACCAGGATCTTGACTTGTAGACGGCAGGGAGGCATCATCGCGCTGCTGTCCTGTTGACTCCATGACCATCTGGCCGTCCAGAGAAACGTCAATATCTGGACTGAATGCAGATACGAAAACGTTGGAGCTTCCATATTTTCCTCCTGATTTAACACACTATATAACATAATGAATTCCTGCATGAGATCCTCACCCGTCTCCTTCCTGCTCCATGAAAACCTCATCTCCATCATCAGCATTAGCAGCCATCCCAGTTGAGGCAGTTACCATGGGAACCGACTGGGAGGCCAGGTTGTCGCCGCTGTCAGAGGGCATGTTCTCTGTAAAGACCGTCACTGAGGGAAACAAGAGTGTTAGCAAACAGGGGCATGCCAAAGAAACAAACAAAAAATAAATAAATAAGGTATGTGTCGGCTCACCTGGTGCAGCCACCTGTAAAGGTGTGGTAGGGACACTCCTCCCTCCGCCATCTTCATCATGAGCAGCCAGGAAGAGAGGAGACTCGTACATCCCCAAGCCTACGTGTACAAAAGCTTTATTTATAGATGACATTACCGCTAATAGGTTGGTGAAGTCTGTGTGTGTGTGTGTGTGTGTGTGTGTGTGTGTGGTTTGCACCTCCTTGCGACGCCAGCTGTCCCAGGTCCGAATGTGAAGCTGATGCCTGCTGCAGCAAATCTTCTGGAGGCCCGAACCTGAATCTGGTGGAAAGACCTGCCACCTGTGGAGAACTGAGGAGTTAAGGGCAGAGAACACAGTTAGCTTTCCTCATTCCCACACTACTGGAAAGGAAGGAGAATAAATGAGCGCAGCGCCTGCAAAGATTCCTCCATGGGAAGAACAACAGGATGTGTATGACTCTTACTGTATAGCCTCGGCAAAGCCATCGGTGCGGTGTGGGACCACCAGAGTGGGAGTACTGGGAACCATTCTGTCATCGTCATCAAAGAACGGCTGTAGAAACACGCAGACATGCTCGGTTAACTTTACCTGTTCGATAAACTTCACAGGAACTGATCAGCCATGAGATTTTATCCCCTGACAGAACAAGATACAACATGACGTTCTGCCAAGAAGGTAAGACATTACAAGTCAGAGCTTAGTAGAGGGGAGTCCAACAAAAATCAGCTGAAGAAGCTATCGATGTGTAATTTTTAAAATAATTTAAGCACTGATTGTATTGCCAGATATATTGGCATATCTGAAAAGTGAGTTTTTATGTGATTCTCAGCATTTGAGGGCCTCCAAGTCCTTCCACATAAAAGTGTGTAATATGTAGAGTATGTGTATTGGGATGAGGTGTTGTACAGCATCAGAACTGAGTTAATATCTTAATAATTATTAAGGTCTGATTAAATGTTTATAAGTGCCCCCTGGTGGCTTGAATAATTATTTCCAAATTATATAGAAAATAGTTTAGAAAAGAGCTGGAGTCACTCCAAGCATTAAGCATGTAGAGATGATTGAAAGTTCAATAAGGCAGACAGAGTGTCTGCATAAAGCAGCATGAGATAAAATTAATATTCTATATCTGCTGCAACATTTGTGTTGTTTGCTTTTGGTGCTGAAACAGTGGTTTACATGTGCTGCCAGACTTTAAGTGCCAATGCCTTAAACGGTAACTTCTTCCTAAATGTAGCAACTATTTATGCTTGTTCCTTCATTAATTAAGCTGAATGTCAACTGTAAAGTCAATCAGACTAGTAATATAGTCAAACATGATCATTTTCTTACCATGGAGGCTAATCCAGGAGTTAGTTGAGGTCCACGACCCGATGATGGTCTACGAAGTTGAGAAGGCTGTCTCTACAGAAGAAAAAGCAGACATTTCTATCACAGGAGTGTAAATCTATAATTTAGTTTAATTGAAAACTAAATTAGAGATTTATATCAGAAAGCTCCAAAATTAACAATGTTGTGATTGCAGCAATTCCCATTCTAGCAGCAATGTTTTGATTGTATTTTTATTTAAATGCAGTATAAACTATCGCTCTTTAACATGATAGTGGTGTAATCTTCTAAAATAAAGCAGCTGCTTTGCAGAGTGAAAGTTAAACTCGTATAAGTTTAAAATACTTTTATCGCGTCATCGCAAGTACTTCAGGACTTGGAAGATGATTTAAAACATTTGAAGAGCTGGAAGGAGTGTTTTACTGTTCCCTTTAGTAAAGAAACAAACACACCACTGACGCTGCGTATTCTAAACAAAACCTCCTGTTACACAAGTCAAACCTTTGTTAATATAGAATAACAGCTTTTGGTTTTACCTGTGTGTGGGGGGGTCCCAGTTCAGGGGCCGGAGCCTGGATGAAGAGCCGGGGTGACGGCCTGCGCGGCTGGGAGAGGCGGGGCATCAGGGAGGAGGAGCAGGGCGAGTGTGCAGAGGAGCAGGCTGGAGGGTGGTGGAGGTAATCCCTAGCAGATCCGAGATCTGCTCCCCAGCTGGTGCCTTCTCCTGAAGGAGACGGCGACTCGGTTAGGTGAGGTCACAGGTGTGCAGGAAGCGGTGCTGCGGGCTTTGGGCTTACCGCTCTGTGAGGGGTCAGCAGGGCGCTGCGAGCTGGAGGGGGCGCCACTCGCATTCTCCTCAGCGTTGGAACCGCCTGAAGGAGCGGCTTCCTCTCTCTCATCTTCAGCCTCCTGACTCTCCTCGTTGTGCTCCTCTCCTCCTCTCATCCCGCTGTCAGCAGCTCCATCATCATCTTCTTCGTCGTCGTCGTCGTCTTCCTGAGACAGCGATGAACAGAGAAAGTCAGTAGCCGAGACGTGTGTGCATCTAAAAAAAACACAACACTAATTGGTCAGAAAATACGACAAACCTGATCTTCTCCTGCTTCCTCTTCATCCTCTTCTTCGTCTTCATCCTCTTCTTCCACTCTCTGGTCCCCGTCTTTGCTCTCCCTGCTCTCGCTGTCGGTGTCGATCACGATGACGTCTCGAATTAAAGCCAAGCCCTGGGAGCCCTGGTCAGACGGGACGGACTGGGAAACTCCTTCGTCCTCCTCAGAAAACGCCTGGAAGCCTTCCTCTGGCAGCTCCTGCACAGCAAACACGGACTAATTAAAACACATTCATGTATATAACTTTACAGTTTCTACATGTAACAAAATCGAAGGGGAAGCTTGGACTTCATGCTTTCTCAGTTGTTTTCATTCAGGTTCGTAGTATTTGTTAGATTTTTTTATATATATATACATCTGTGTGACGCTTCTGCCTCATTTGCTCATTTGTGTAAATGAGGCACACTCTATTTATTAAATTAATGTATTATTTAAAATGTGAAAATTAATCTGTCCAAAAAAAACCAAAAAACAATTAAATAGAAGTATGACCTTAATA